CATTTTACAAACCTCTTGTAAGACAGAAAGGTTCTGTAAGTCCCCTCCCAACCCAGAAGTCCAGCTGGCTTCACCTCTCACTAGGGAAACCATATCTGTTTCTAAAAGAGGATTAAAAGATATTACCTGTTGGCTGAAGTCCAGAGTGTCCTGGGAAAACGTAGGAAAAGATATACACTTAAACATATTGAAGCAAGTCTGTCCTCCAACACAATGTCCCAGCGCTAGATCTCCCACCTGAGATTTCTCTAACACCACAACCCACCCCAACCAGGGCAGAGAGGAGCAGAAACAGACCATGTGACCCATGAAGCATGAAGTGTCTGTCACAGGATTCAGTGTAATTGCATTAGCCTTAGTGGTTCTTCTGTAATTTGCTCCAGGATCTCGAACCAAAGGACCCCTACTTGTTAACCTTCCTCTTGTCTCTGCAGGCCACAAGCTATTATGTTTTGACATAGAAACCATGTACTGATGATTTCTGGATTAGCAGGACATTGGAGGTCATTTGAGGAAAGAAAGGCTTTATCCAGCACCACTCATATACTGAGAACTAACCTCAGCAAAGCCATAGTTCCTCCTCCAGAAAAGCCTGTGGACAGAGGGCCAGCTCCCAAAGGCTCCTCACCTTTCTGATTCCTGAAGTAGATGAACAGCCCGGCCCCAAGGAAGAGCAGGCCCAGCACAAAGCCCCCGACTCCACTCAGCATCTTGCTCTGTGCAGATTCAGACCGTGCTCCTGAGAGAGGAAGCCAGGTTTAGTGATGTTTATTCCAAACTGAACCTCTTTAATTGAGACTCTAAGATTCAGAGCTTTGAAAACGGGGAAGAAGGCTGCCCTAAAAGAACTAAAATAACCAGCCATTTCTGGAGAAAAATAGGATTTCAAATCACACTGAACAGTTACAAGGTTCAGACATCAAACTCATTCAAATATTACAGCCTTGATGTAAGGTATGAGTTCAACATCTGATCCACAGAAAGCCTGAGACTCAATGAGGCTAAGTAGTTTGTCTAGAGCGACAGAGTTAATAAAAGGCAGAGCTGAGATCAGACTTCCCTCATGTCAGGAAGGCCCCTACACTTCTCCTCTTCCCAGATCACAACAAATAACTCAGAGCAACAGCACCAGAAACTCAGTCTCAGACCCAGAGGCAGGGCCTGGAGCCTGGGGACAGCGGGTGACCCTGACCTGTGACATCACGGGGAGGTTCAAAAGAGGGACAGCCTCTCCTGCCTGGCAGGCACGACTGCTTCTCCAGGAGGTACAGGTGTTTCTAGAAACACCTACAGGGCTACCCCCAGTGACCTGTGCTAATGGTGATGAGAACATGGAGCAAATGAAAATAGGATGTGGGAGAGGAGAAACCTGACACTCAGGGATTAGCACAGTCCCGTTCTTGGTGGGTGAGAAATGCATGAAGTCAGAAAGCTGCTCACTCCATTCCACTGTGAGAGGGCTGGTCACGCTTGGGTGCTCCACTTGGCAGGTGTAAACCTCTCCACTCCGAGGAACTGTTTCCAGCATCACCAGGGTCTGGAAGGTCCAGTCTCCATTCTGGATCAGGCCTGTGGACACCACCCCAGCCTTCTCTTCCTGGCCGTTCCGGA